AAACTTGGAGCAGTGAAGGCAAGGAACCTGAACTGAGGTCTTGAGTTGTTCTAGTCATTGTACTTGATTATTTCAGATTTATTCCCTCACAGCTTTATGAGGTAGGTGTTGTGCTGTTTTTACACAAGAGAAAATGGAGAGCTAGGCGGATATAATGGACCCAGATCTTTCTGACCCCAAATATTAATGAATATTGTAATAATGAAGACAGTACAGTCATTATCACTTACAAATATGTACGTTTGAGCAACTATGTAAAAAAATTTTAATAATAAAGTAGTATATGTACACTAATTTACTAAAAATTATGAGAATCATTAAGGGAAGGTAAAGGAATCTAATCTGATTGCATTATTTGGCTTAGAAACAACTTCTAATTGTATTTTTTTTTTTTTTAATGTCTGCATTAGGTTCAGTTCTATACTGAGATGCCTTATTGCCATTCTCAAACCACAAGGAAGATTTGATTTGGTAGAAGGTCAGTTTAGTCAGTTTAGTGTAGTAGGTAAGAACTTCAACTCTGGGCTGGCGCCGCGGCTCACTAGGCTAATCCTCCGCCTTGCAGCACCGGCACACCGGGTTCTAGTCCCGGTCGGGGCGCCGGATTCTGTCCCGGTTGCCCCTCTTCCAGGCCAGCTCTCTGCTGTGGCCCGGGAGTACAGTGGAGGATGGCCCAGGTACTTGGGCCCTGCACCCCATGGGAGACCAGGATAAGCACCTGGCTCCTGCCATCGCATCAGTGCGGTGCGTCGGCCGCAGTGCGCCGGCTGCGATGGCCATTGGAGGGTGAACCAACGGCAAAGGAAGACCTTTCTCTCTGTCTCTCTCTCTCTCACTGTCCACTCTGCCTGTCAAAATAAATAAATAAATAAATAAAACTTCAACTCTGCAGTTAAGTAACTAAGGTTTGAATCTCAGTTTCATTATAGCTGTATGACATTGGGCAAGTCCCTTCAAATTTCATGGCAGTTCTTAAATTATTTTTTCAAACAGGCTACTTTATTTCATGTATTTTATTTACTTGAAAGGCAGGGAGAAAGACAGAGATACCTTGTCTGTTGGTTCACTCCCAAAATGTCCACACTACTTGGTAGTAGGCTAGGCTAAAGCCAGGGGTTGGGAAACCCAGTCTGGGTCTCCCACAATAGGTAGGAGGAGCCCATTTCCTGGAGTCATTACCTTTTGCCACCTAGAGTGTGCGTTAGCAGGAAGCTGGAATTGGGAGCCGAGCCAGAGCCAACACTTGGGCATTCCAGTACAGGATGCAGTTGTCCTAAGCAGTGTCTGAATGGCTGTACCAAGCATTTGCTCCCCCTTTTTAGAAATAGTGAATGAGAGAATTAAAATAAAGGTTTAGCAAGAGCCTAGCATATACTAAGCTCTTAATGAGTTAGCTGCTATTGTTATCAACAGAATCATTATTTACTTAAATTTTAAGCATTGGTTTTACTTGAGATCAGAACTGAGGTCTGTTAGAATACCTTAGTTGTCTGTAAAAAACCACCAAGTGCTTGGTGACTTAAAAGAGCAACCATTTTAATACACTAGCTCAGAATCCTTTGTCTTGGTAATTTGTACTCAGCTGAGCTGGTTGAGCTGACCTGGGTTGGGTTCTTTTTTTTTTTTTTTGTAAGATTTATTTCTTCATTTCAAAGGCAGAGTGGCAGAGGAAAGACAGAGATAGAGACATCCTCTGTCTGCTCTTTCACTCCCCACATGCTGAGGCCAGGAGCCAGAACTCCCTCTGGATCTCCCAAGTCCCTGAGCCACATCCTCTGCCGCCTCCCACATACCTTAGTAGGAAGCTGGCTCGGAAGCAGAGTAGCCAGGACTCAAACCAGGCACTCCAGTGTGAAATGCAGACGCCCCAGGCAGCAGCTCTGCGTAGGTGTCCACCCCCCACACCCTTTCTTGGCCAGCCCCTCTTCCGGGCGACCTGTTTGCAGGTAGTGGATGAATGGAAGATGCAAGCCACTCAGACTCTTGACATCCACAGCATCATTTTTGCCACAGTGTGTTGGTTAAAGTCACAGGATTGCTCAAACGTGGGATGGGCAGTGCGGCTTGCATTGTTTATTCTAGCATTTGATTTAAATAATGGAAATCACTGTTACAATATTCATTAACAGCAACAGATTGAGATTTTTTTTTTTTAAGATTTTATTTATTTCTTTGAGAGGTAGAGTTACAGACAGAGAGAAAGAGAGACAGAAAGGTTTTCCGTCCACTGATTCGCTCCCCAAATGACCACAATGGCTGCAGCTGAGCCAATCTAGAGCCAGAAGCCTCTTCTGGGTCTCTATTGTGGTGCAGGTACCCAAGTGCTTGAGCCATCCTCCACTGCCTTCCTAGGCACATTAGCAGGGAGCTGGATTGGAAGTGGAGCAGCTGGGACTCAAACTGGCAGCACCCATATGGGATGCTGGCATTGCAGGCAGTGGCTTTACCTGCTATGCCATAATGCCAGCCCTACTATGATCACTTTTAAGGCCCATCCTTAGCCTAATTTAATCTTGTCAGATATGACTTAAGAAATGAAGTAATTTGGGGTGGTGCTGTGGTGTACTGGGTTTAGCATCTGCCTGTGGTGCGGTTTGAGTGCTGGCTGCTTTAGCTCTCTGCTATGGCCTGGGAAAGCAGTAGATGGCCCAGGTGCTTGGGCCCCTGCACCTGTGTGGGAGAATCCAGAAGAAGCTTCTGGCCCCTGGCTTTGGATTGGTTCAACTTCATTGGTTGCAGCCATTTAGGGAGTTAACCAGCAGATTAAAGACCTCTGTAACTATGTCTCTCAAGTAAATAAATAATTCTTTAAAAACAAAAAAAAAGAAGTAATTCATTTCAAATACAATAGGTGGCACTGTGATAAAGCATATGTTTCTGTAAAGAGGAATTCAGATTCGTTATATATACTCTCTACCTGTGTTATTGTTAAAAACAAGCATATGTTTCTAAATAAAGCAAACCCGGTAAGAATCTAGTTCAAGAAATTGAACTAAATTCTAGCAAAATAAAAATAGATCTAGAGGCACAGATCTAATTTCTCAAAAGTGTTTCATACCTACATTTTTAAAAGATTCATTTATTTGAAAGTCGGAGAGAGAGATATCTTTCATCTGCTGTTTTACTCCCCAGATGGCTGCAGTGGCCAGGGCTGGGCCAGGCCACAGTCAGGAGCCAGGAGCTTCATCTGGGTCTCCCATGTGGGTACAAGGACCCAAGGACTTGGCTCATCCTCTCCTGCTTTTTCCCAATCATTATCAAAGAGCTGATCAGAAATGGAGCAACCAAGACTTGAACTAGCACCCCAAAGGGAGGCCAGCGTTGTCTCTCTTTCATGCATATTTTAATTTCATAGAAATTATCCTATACTAATAAGTAGGATTTTAAATTGTTTCTTAGCTGTTGATGTAAGCAGAACAACAAGAAATGCAGTGTGAGTCCAGAAGACAGTGAATGTTAGTATGATAGTTCTGTCCTATGTCCAGTGTGTTTGAAGGCGCTCTCTCTCTCTCTCTCTCTCTCTCTCTCTCTCTTTAAGATTTATTTTATTTATTTGAAAGAGTTACAGAAGAGAGATGGAGAGTCAGAAAGAATCTTGCCAAGTGGTTCACTTGCCAATCTGGTTCACTTGCCAGGTGGTCACAACAGCTGGGGCTGTTCCAGGCAAAGCCAGGAGCCCAGAACTCCTTCTGAGTCTCTCACATTGGTGGCAGGGACCCAAGTACTGGGACTGTCTTCTGCTTTCCCTGTCAGCAGAAAAATCAGCTGGGGGGCGGGGGGAGGGAGGGAGGGAGGGAGAGGGAAATCCTCCATCCACTGCTTGACTCTCCAGCAATGGCACCATCCTTGGCTAGGCCAGGCTGAAGCCGAAAGTCCCGTGAGTGGCAGGAACCCAAGCACTGTGCCATCATCTGCTGCCTTCCCAGGATGCATTAATAGGAAGCTAGATTGGCAGCTGAGTAGCCAGGATTTGAACTGGCATCCAGTATGGGATGTGGACATCTGTAGCGATGGCTTCAGCCTGTCCCTTTGCCACCACTTTTAATGGTAGATGTACCACAAAGGTAGCACACTGGAGTATCCAGCCTTCTGAGGTTGTCTTTGAATGGCCCAATGTTCTGTCTTTACTAGGAATCAGGAATCCTTGTTTAAAGTCCAGTTGGGAATTTTGTATGAAGTTACATTTTGAATAGGTAAACATTACAAAGCAGCAACAACAAAAATATATTCTCAGAAACTGTTGTGAAGATAGAAATACTAATTCTCTTTAAATTCTGAAAGTATGTAGTAGTTTTAATCATTTGGAAAATAAATAGTACTTGTAATTTTTACTAGCAGTTGTCTGTCTTGATTTAAAAAGTAAATAGGACTTAAAAGACATCCTAGGTTGAATATGAAATTCTACATGACATTTCCCCGAGTACACTGCAGTGCTTCTCTGCCCTTCCTCATTTGAGTTCTAACAAACTAAGGGGCAGAGAATCTAAATTCAGCCCGCGATCTCTTGTCATTTCATTTTTGTTTCCGTTCTAACTTTTTAAAAGCGGTTGTAGCCGGCGCTGCGGCTCACTAGGCTAATCCTCCGCCTAGCGGTGCCGGCACACCGGGTTCTAGTCCCGGTCAGGGCGCCAGATTCTGTCCCCGTTGCCCCTCTTCCAGGCCAGCTCTCTGCTGTGGCCAGGGAGTGCAGTGGAGGATGGCCCAAGTACTTGGACCCTGCACCCCATGGGAGACTAGGAGAAGCACCTGGCTGCAGGCTTCGGATCAGCACGGTGTGCTGGCCACAGCGTGCCAGCCGTGGCGGCCATTGGAGGGTGAACCAATGGCAAAGGAAGACCTTTCTCTCTTTCTCTCTCTCTCTCTCTCTCTCACTGTCCACTCTGCCTGTCAAAAAAAAAAAAAAAAAAAAAAAAAAAACGGGTTGTATTCCTTTTATCTTCCGATTCTGATTCCCCACCACGCTACTGATACAGTGGTTGCTTTTACATCCTGTTTTTCAGCTGATTACCTGGCTCAGGCATTTGATTCTCTTTGTTTGGATCTGAAGACAGATGAAGGAAAAACCTTGTTCTTGGAGTATCAAGCTGTCCCAGTAGTATTACATCATCTAAGAATATCTAGTAAAGGACTTCTGTCCAATGCCATTGATAGTCTGCTCCAAATGACAGTGGAATCTAGTAAGTTTTTAAGTTTTATATATGTAAAGAATTGAAAATAGCATGATTTTTCATGGTTTTGAATGTATAACTTCATCTGGTTTTGAATGTATAATGTCACATACTGTATTTTATGATTTAAATGCTTAAAAATATTTTGACAGTAATTGAATTACTAATAGGATCACTAAGAGTTAAAAACCTAATCGTTTGTCTTTTTTACTGATTTAACACAGTAAATGAGTATATATATATACACAGAGTATATTCCATCAGCCATTATGGAATATACTCTGCAAATGTTATTTGTACCTTCAAGCCTTTTTTCTTTTTCTTATCTTTCCAAAGGTTTTTTTTTTTTTTTTTCCACATCTGTTTATTTTATTTGAAAGGCAAAATTACAGAGAGAGAGGGAGAGGGAGAGTCAGGGGCAGAGATAGAGAGAGCGCCCTTCTGCTGATTCAATCACCAAATGGCTGCAGCTTCAGAGCTGGGCCACACCAAAGTGAGGAGCCAGGAGCTTCTTCCAGGTCTCCCACGTGGGTGCAGGGGCCCAAGCACTTGAGCCATTTTCTGCTGCTTTCCCAGGTGCATTAGCAGGGACCTGAACCAAAAGTGGAGCAGCCAGAAATCAAACCAGTGCCTATATGGCATGCTGGTGCTGCAGGTGGTGGCTTAACCCACGACACCACAGCTCCAGCCCCCATTCCAACTGTTCTAATTCTGTATTCCTTGTTCAGTGGAATAAGATCATCAAACATATTTCTGCCTACAGTGAAAGTAGTGACACAGACATACTACTGTTGTTACCTCGTCAATCTTACTGGTTTATTGGAGGGTGTGGGGCCTGTGAGAGTGGGAGGGCATTTCAGCTCTGTATATGACTACAGTTTAGTCATATTTGTCGTGTTTTGTAGTCTGTGAGGGACTTACTGTTGGCTTTTGTTGGAATAAGAAGTTCTTTCAGCTTGCTGTTAAAGGTTTCTGGTCTAGCACAGATACACCCGAGGATGCGGAGCATAAATGTTTTAATTTGCTTCTGTTGGCATAGCTCTTTGAGTTTATGTAGCCCTTTGACTTACAACGAGTAGCCACTTTGATTAAACACTTCTTTTTCACTTGTAGTCTTCCCTCTTCTCTGTTTCTTCTTCCCTCTACAGCACTTCTAAAAGTGAAATATTCATGCTTTCCAGAGGTAGAAACTCAAACTGGAAGAGCCTTGCTTGGTGTGGTAGTAAGCCACATGCAGCCTGTATGCCACTTGTGGGCAGCTCACCAGTGGTTGGGTGCACAGCATGGCTGTGCTTCTGGCTAGCTGCATTCGCTGTATGGTCTCGCATTTTCAGTTTACTTTCGTATGTGATGTCTTTTCTTCACAGTGTCTCTGTGAAGGAGGCTTCATAGGGAAGTAGAGGCTGAGAAAAGTTAGGTGACTTCTCCAGGGATTCCGTGGCTGGAGAGGTGGAGCTGAGCCTAGAGGCCAAGCCTGTGACCCAGACGTGGGACTCATCCTGCCGCAGCCCTGCGTGTCCGCTGCTCTGACATGCTTGTATCAGTATTTCCACTCATGTCTGAGTGTGTGGGTACTGAACCTACTGAATAATCTTGGGATTTTATATCTCGTTTTACTGATGTAAGGACCAGGACAAAAAATTCAGTTAGTGATCGGAGGCACAGAGATCCAAGATTATTTTAAGTGACTAGATTTCTACCTTGTTGCACAGGGATTTTTTATTTTCATGAGAAAAGCAACAATCATACCAGACACAGTTGCCTCTTCATCAGAAATGAATCTTTCTAATTGTGTCTGTCAGACACATTTCTCTTATCATCAGAGGAAAATTAAAAATTTTTTTGAAATAGTTTAAATACTTGGTGAAATGACTTTGTGGTACCACATTGGTCAACAGATGCTCAGTCATTCACATTTGTTTACTTTTGTTAAGTTGCTATCAAATTCAAGCCTGTGCCTTTCTTGCTCAAACTGAGTAAATAAACCAATTTTTGATGCTGACTAATATGAAAGCTGTATTATTTTTAGTGATAGGCAGCTTGGAAGATCAGAAATGGGCAAATCTTTGATGTCTGACTGTGTCTGACCAAAGCATGTTTATTTGCTTGATGTAGTTCCAATTTTATTTTTATTTATTTTTTAAGATTTATTTGTTTACCTGAAAGACATAGTTACAGAGGGAGGGAAAGAGACAAAGGAGAGGAAGATCTTCCATCTGCAGGATCACTCCCCAGATGACCTCAACAGCCTGTGCTGGGCAGGCTGAAGCTAGAAGCTTTGTCCAGGTCTGGATACAAGGCCCAAACAGTTGGTCCCTCCTCCGCTGCTTTCCCAGGCACTTTAGCAGGGAGCTGGATTGGAAGTGGAGCAGCAAGATTCAAACCAGTGTCCATATGGGATGCCAACATTGCATGCAGTGGCTTAACCACTGCCACTACGCCAGCCCACTATATATCCAATTTTAAATGTAAACCCAACACCTGGTTAGTCAGTTTGTTAAAGAGATAGATCAAAAGGCAGCAGAAACTTTTTTTTTCTTTCTTTTTTATGATATCAGAGGAAGGGAGATAGAGAGCTCCCATCTAGTGCCTGCAATGGCCAGCGATGTGGAGAGAGAGAAAGCTCCTATCTGCTAACTCATCCTCCTGATGCCTGTGACCTGTGACCGAGCCTGCACAAAGTCGAGAGCTGGGACTCAAGCTGCATCTTCCATGTAGGTGGCAGGAACCCAGTGACTTGACCCAACACTGCTGCATAACTTCTTTAGCTGTTAGTTTTGTTTTTTTTCTAGGTTTGAGATTAGAAATTTATTTCACCATGTATATAATTTCCAAATAACTTTTTTAAGAACATGAGGAAAAGTTATTGGAAAAGAAGTCTTGATAGGTTAGTTTATGTTATAAAACTAATGGATTGGTAGCCTGCTTTCTATGAGGTGCCAGATTTCGAAGCAGTGTGTTTCTTTTTTAAAAAATAGACATCATTATTATGGTTTTAGCAGTATGAGTATGTATGAATTTTAAAACATTTATAGGGGCCAGTGTTGTGGTGTAGCAGGTAAAGCCGCCACCTGCAGTGCTGGCATCCCATATGGGCGCCGGTTCGAGTCCCGGCTGTTCTACTTCCAATACAGCTCTCTGCTGTGGCCTGGGAAAGCAGTAGAAGATGGCCCAAGTCCTTGGGCCCCTGCACCCACGTGGGAGACCTGGAAGAAACTCCTGGCTCCTGGCTTCAGATCGGCACAGTTCCAGCTGTTGCGGCCATCTGGGGAGTGAACCAGTGGATGGAAGCCCTTTCTCTCTCTCCCTGCCTCTGGCTCTCTGTAACTCTGCCTTTCAAATAAATAGATAAATCTTAAAAAAAAATAAAAACAATTCATAAACATTTTAGCAATAAAGAAAAGATGTATTTAAAATTGTCTTATTTGAAAGGCAGGGAGACAAAGAGAGACGCACAGAATTGATCCATCATCTGCTGGTTCACTTTCCCACATGTCCACATTGGCAGGGGCTGGGTCAGGCTGAAGTTGGGAGCCAGAAATTCAATCCAGGTCTGCACTCTGGATGTCAGGGGCCCAGCTACTCTGAGCCATCACTGCTGCTTCCCAGGGTCCGCAGGAGGAAACTGCGACTGGGAGTGGAGCTGGAGCATGGAGCCAGGCACTCTGACGTGGGATGCTGGCATCCCAAGCTGCATCTTAACCCCTCTGCCAAATGCCTACCCATCAGAAACACTGTATTTGTTTTGTTTCTTTGAAAGGCAGAGAGAGAAAGAGACAGAACCACAGTCAGAGAGCTCCCATCTGCTAGTTCACTCCCAAATGCCCGCAACAGCAGAGCTGGGCCAGGCCTATGCCAGGAGCTGGGAACTCCATCCAGGTTTTCCCATGTGCATGGCAGAGATCCAAGCCCTTGAGCCGTCATCTGACTCCCAGGGCGCATGTTAGCAGGAAGCTGCAGGTGGGAGCCTCGGAGCATTATGCTTACAGGGCTGCCAGAGCCACCAGAGGCTAGGAGGGGGTTTCAGGTGAGCCCCAAGTGCCTGTGACTGTTGAGTACCTTGGTACAGAAACTGAGAGTAATTTGACAATTTTGTCTGTTAAATATAATAGTTAAAAAAATTTGGACTTTAATTTTATGCTTGTTTTATCTGTATTTCATTTTTCTGGTATTTTTTAAATGCCATTTTCTAACAGTGGGATGGATTCTGTGAGTTGGATTGGAAATTTAAAGACCGGTGCTTTAGCATACCAGTCTGAGAAGCAGTAGGCTGCCAGTTTCTACTGGATGCTTTGTGTTAAGCTGTGCCATAAGTCAGTGGTTCTACGTAGCAGCTGTTTCTCTGTTCTTCCAGATTCATCTTCCAGATAGGAGAAGCATTAGCTGCTCTTTGAAAGCTGCTAAAATGCTTTTTGAGTGTAAATTAAGACCTTGCCCCTTCACTTATCTTGCCATATATATTATGAACACAGCTTTTTTCGATTGAGGACCTCTGATTGTTATCTATCTTTGGTGTGGGTATACATCATGTAATAACTTAGTGGTGTTGCTTTTAGAAAATCACTTTGTGGTTTCTTCTTCTTTTTCCTGTCAGCCTTTGAAAACTATTACTCACCTGGGCTTAGCTGTGTAAGAACTTGAGTCTTATTTTGTTACAAAGAATACTTTCCTGTTCTTGTCAGACTTAGTTTAAATAGAGATTTTAAGTTTGTATCTGTTCTCTTTTATGGCCTAGAAGCAGCCTTGTCCAAGTAACATGCTGTTGTTTCATGTTGCAGTGTTGTGTGTTTGAATACTTTTAAATTTCACACTTTTAACTCTTTTTTGAAAAGTTTATGTTTATTTGAAAGGCGATTTTCCACCTACTTGTTCATTCCCTAAATGCCCACAACAGCCTGGGTTGGGCCAGGCTGAAACCAGAAGCCAGGAATTCCATTTGTATCTCCCTTGTGGATCACAGGGCCCCAAATACTTGATATCATTGGCTGCTTCCCAGGCCATGTGCTGGA